TTCTTTCTTTCTTTCTTTCTTTCTTTCTTTCTTTCTTTCTTTCTTTCTTTCTTTCTTTCTTTCTTTCTTTCTTCTTCTTTTCTTTCCTTCCTTCCTTCCTCCCTCTTTCTTTCTTTCCTCTTCCTTCCTTCCTTCCTTCCTTCCTTCCTTCCTTCCTTCCTTCCTTCCTTCCTTCCTTCCTTCCTTCCTTCCTTCCTTCCTTCTTTTTCTCTCTCCCTCCATTCTTCCCTCCCAATTTTCTTTTTTTTTCTCTTTTAGTTAATTTTTAATTAATTTCTATTTTATTGTTTTAGCCGGACAATGGACATCTGTTTACCCCAACCCTGTTTAAGCTCGTTCCCTAATGATTGGCTCCCTCCCTCCTTTGAAAATTGGTTCCACGCCTCTGCTGCCCTTTCTGCAAAGGGATATTTTCCTTTTGAACTTCTGAATGTTCATCGCCGCTTCCTCCTCCTCTCCCTCCCTCCCTCCCTCCCTTCTTCCACCTCTCCTCCGCAGATGATCCAGCCGTTCATCTTGCGCAGATCGAAAAGGGACGTTGAGAAACAGCTGACGAAGAAGTACGAACACGTGCTCAAGTGCCGGCTTTCCAACAGGCAGAAAATGATGTACGAGGACGTCATTCTCCAGCCCGAGTAGGTGTTTCTGAGTTGAACATTAAACCAGGAGTCTCCAACCTTGGCAACTTTGGACTTCAACTCCCAGAATTCCTCAGCCAACTTTGCTTTCTGGGGGTTGAAATCCACAAGTCTTAAAGTTGCCAGGTTTTCAGACCCCTGAGGAATTCTGGGAGTTGGAGTCCACAAGTCTTAAAGCTGCCAAGGTTGGAGAGCCCTGCATTAAACCATTAATGACTCATTAATGACTCATTAATAATTAACATGATCCCTAGAAAGGGCAGGTGCAGGTACTGTTACAACACACAATCATACAGGGTGGTCCTTGACTTAGAACCATTTGTTTAGCGACTCTTTAAAGTTACGATGGCACTGGAAAAAAAATGACTTTTATGGCCGATCCTCACATTCGCAAGCCACGTGATCAAAATCTGAGCACTTCCAAATAAAAAGTCGATGGGAGATCCACTTAACGACCGCATAATTCACTTATCAACTGCAGTGAATGGTTTTAACATTCGTGGTTGTGAAGAAAAAAAAATCGGGCTCTGGACTCATTTAATGACTGCCTTGCTTAGCAGAACGGAAATTCTGGTCCCCATTGTGCTCGTAAGTCGATCACTACCTATGATGGAGTCTGCCCATTATGGCTGTAAGTTCCTGACAGTCCAAAAACCAGTCCACATCCAGAGGACTTTTGCAACCTCTCTTGCAGGGGTCCTAAAGAAAACAACAGTTTATTTTTATTTATTGTATTTATTTATTAGATTTGGGTTGCTACCCATTTGCCGTGGCGACTCAAGGTGGCTTACAACATATAAAACCACAATTTAAAACAATAAACACCACTTACTGTTAAGTGGACCCTTTGTTTGCTGTGGAACATTTTTGCTAAAAACTGGAAAAAAATACCACTTTCTTGGCAAAGACCTCATACATCACAGCCTTTGCAATTGGAGCCAATTTCCAGGCACCTAAAATGCAGTTAGATGCCACCAGAAGGACGTCCCAAAAGTGCTTTTTTTTTTTCTTCAAGAGGCAACTGGACTTTCTTGTTTTTTCTTTGAAGATGTTTCGCTTCTCATCCAAGAAGCTTCTTCAGCTCTGACTGGATGGTGGAGAATGGAAGGATTTATACCCCTTGCATATAAGCTGGTCATTTGCATCCTTTTAGAGAGGCAATGAGGCCACTTGGAGGTTAATCTGTGTCCTCGGGGGGACACCCAAGTGGTGCAAATGGCACTGCTGAAAGGACTGTGTTGTAGACCGGAGAGAGATAATGTTGGATCCCTCCCCCTGTTGAGAGGAGGCTGTTCAATTTTGACCTAGAGGGCCTCTTTGACACCCCCCCTTTCAAACCAGCGGTCCTCTCTGCCCAAAATGTGGACTTTGTTGTTTTCAAAAGAGTGGCCAGTCAGAACTGAAGAAGCTTCTTAGATGAGAAGAAAAACATCTTCAGAGAAAAGCAAGAAACTCCAGTTGCCTCTTGAAAAAAAATGCACCTTTGGGACAACCTTGCCCTGGATGACTGAGAATCTCCATAGACACGGGAAAGATGGTTGCCATCAGAACTTCAAAACCCAGTCATGAATGATTTGTGTGTGTGTGTGTGTGTGTGTGTGTGTGTGTGTGTGTGTGTGTCAGAACTTCAAATTGTCACTAACTGACTCATCATAAGTCAGGGTCTGCAAGTGCAGTTAATGTGAAGTCTTGGCCAATGAGGCCCTGACCTCATGGGCATCGCATACAGATATAGATACAGATTAACAGAGTTGGAGGGGACCTGGTAGGTCATCTAGTCCAACCCTCCCTTGCCCAAGCAGGAGACTCTACACCATTTCTGACCAATGGCAGTCCAGTCTCTTCTTGAAAGCCTCCAGTGATGAAGCTCCCACAACTTCCGAGGGCAACTTCTGTTCCATTGGCTGACTGTTCTCCCTGTCAGAAAGCTTCTCCTTATTTCCAGGTTGAATCTCTCCTTGATCAGATCCATTATTCCTTGTTGGCCTTCAGGTGCCTTGGAAAATAGCTTGACCCCCTCCTCTCTGTGGCAGCCCCTCTAATATTGGAAGACTGCTCTCATGTCTCCCTGGGTCCTTCTCTTCCCTAGATTAGCCAGGCCCAGTTCCTGCAACCGTTCATCGTAGGTTTTAGCCTCCAAGCCATTGGTCATCTTAGATAGATTCAGATTAACAGAAGTGGAAGGGACATCTAGTCCAACCCCCCGCCCAAGCAGGAGACCCTACACCATTTCCGACAGATGGCAGTCCAGTCTCTTCTTGAAAGCTTCCAGGGATGAAGCTCCCACAACTTCTGAAGGCAACTTCTGTTCCATTGGTTGATTGTTCCCACTGTCAGAAAATGTCTCCTTAGTTCCAGTTTGAATCTCTCCTTGGTCAGTTTCCATCCATTGTTCCTTGTCTGGCCTTCAGGTGCTTTGGAAAACAGCTTGACCTCCTTCCTCCTCTCTGGGGCAGCCCCTCAAATATTGGAAGACTGCTATCCTGTCTCTCCTGGTCCTTCTTGTCTCTAGACTAGCCATGCTGAGTACTTGTAACCATTTATCGTATGTTTTAGCCTCAATTCACTCTTCTAGCTTTAAGCCTCTGATTTCTTCTGCCTCGGCAGGACCCAAGACGCTGTGAAAAGCGGGCACTTCGTCAGCGTCCTTCACGTCTTGATGCAGCTGCAGAAGATCTGCAACCACCCGGATCTGATCAACCCTCGGCTGTGCGGCTCCTCTTATGTCTCGGAGGCATTGCAGTTCTCGACCGCCTCGCTGGCCTTAAAAGCCTTGGAGAGCAACCTGTGGAAGGTAAGCTGAAGGATGATGGACTCGCCAGGTGCCCTGTTGGGTGAGGAAGAGGGAGCACTTTCCAACTTCTTGTTTCTGATTTTACTTTTCTGCCCCAAGGTGTGACCAAGCACTCCACAATATGTGTGTGAGTGTGTGTGTGTGTGTGTGAGAGAGAGAGAGAGAGACAGACAGAGAGAGACAGAAAGAGATGAAATGGACTAACGATAGAAAAGGAACAATCTTTCTGACTTCTCATTTCTGATTTTACTTTTCTGACCCAAGGTGTGACCAAGCACTCCATAATGTGTTTGTGTGTGTGTGTGTGTGTGTGTGTGTAAGAGGGAGAGGGAGAGAGATGAAATGGGCTAACAATAGAAGAGGGAGAATCTTTTCAACTTCCCATTTCTAATTTTATTTTTCTGCCCCAAGGTGTGACCAAGGGCTACACAATTTGTGTGTGTGTGTGAGAGAGAGGGGGTGGGTGGGAGGGAGGGAGGGAGAAGGAGAGGCAGAGATGAAATGGACTAACATAGAAAAGGGAGAATCTTTTCAACTTCTCATTTCTAATTTTACTTCTCTGCTCCAAGGTGTGACTAAGGACTCCACAGTGTGTGTGAGAGGGAGACAGAGAAGGAGAAAGGGAGGGAGATATGTATGAAATGGAGTAGTCTTAGAAGAGAATCTTTGTAGCTCAAGCTTGAACTGTGGGGTCCTTGTTGCTCTCTGAGCTTGGTGGTTTTCTTGCAGATGTTTCATGACCCAACTAGGTAACATTATCAGTGCTAAAAGGGGAAATGAGCTTTACAGAGTGGAGGAGGAGGAGGAGGAAGAGAAAAGACCGTGGGGTCCTTAAGACCTTTCATTACCAAACTAAGTAATATCATTAGTGCTAAAACGGAGTGAGGTTTGTGGAGGTGATGAGGAAGTCGGAGGTTTCGTGACCCAACTAGGTAGCATCATCAGTGCTAGAAAGGAATGGGGTTTGCAGAGTAGAGGGGGAGGAGACAGGAGGAAGTAGGGGACGACGACTGTGGGGTCCTGGATGCCCTCTGAGCTCGGTGGTTTTCTTACAGCCCTTTCGTGACCCACCTAGGTAACATCACCAGCCTGAGTCAAATGATAGCAGGCACCCAGGTACGCTTTCTCCCCTCTCGGCCATCCTCTAGGTTGCAGACCTGAGTCTCTTTGACCTGATTGGGCTCGAGAAGAAAATGACGTGGTATGAATCCCAGGTGGTGCCAAAGCAAAAAATAACCCGGAAGCTTATCGAAGAGATTTACACCTCTCCCCTGCCGCCTCCTAGGCCTACTCCCGTCAAGCTGAAGCCCAACAGGTAAAGCGCACGCAGCCTTCTACAACATCGCCGCCCCTCGTTCAGCCGACTGTGATGGGGATCGGGCTCTTCTCCCTGTTCCGTTTTGCGTGGCCTGTGGATGCTCACAATGGAGTGGCG